AAATCACCGTTCTTGGTAGGCGATTATCGTATCACATTGTATCACAAAATATAACTCATGTTATAAGATTATCTTTAAATGTATTCTTTCTAATTTTTGCTGGACCCGAAGTGCCGGCCTTCCGTCCTCTGACTAACTCACTGGCTGTGTCACTGCAGTACAAAATGATACCCCAAACTGACACGTTTGGGTCCAGCACGGCTATGCATATCAGGAAGGATCTGGAAGGATCTCAAGCCGTAGCATTGGATTATGCAAGAGGGGGCTAAGGGGCAGAAGGCCCTCTCATTTAAGCCTTGAATACATAGTCAACAATCCCCAATAGCCATGTAAAAATGGTCTGAAATGCTGACTTAAAGAATGATTGGAAATTGTTAATGTCTCATCTAACTAACTTAGTTCGTCAAGTCTGATTTCTGCATCCGGCCCCCGAAAGGAAGAGGTCACGGCTCTCGGGATCAGCATGGGCTTATCTAGCTTATTCCTCCTAAAAGGTGAGTATAATTTCGGGTAACCTACAAATATATATTGGTGTCAATATAAATAATTTTTCCTTTCAGATACTCAGCCGCCAGAGATAACCTGCTCACCCGATAAGACCATCGAGACAGATACAAACCAGAACTTCGCAACATTTACCCTCCCCGGCGCAGCCTCTGCGTTCGACAACAGTGGACATTTCGAAATAACCATTGACGTTGATGGTTCTACGCACTGTGTTAATGACACGGTCAGATTGAGTATGGCAAACTCCTCATATGCACTGCAATATACAGCGAGTGATGCAAACAACTATGCAACGTGCCGCACGCAAATCACCGTTATTGGTAAGCCTTTTCTGTGTTATATTAAAAAAATATACCACAAAATATAGCAATATGCTACATGCATTACGATTCACTTAGAATGTATTCTTTTTTATATTTGCTGTCACCGAGTACAAATAATACCCCGTAGCTACGCCGCTGGCTGTATGATGCAAGGGCTTGGAGGCTTAGGGACAGAAGGGTCATTTAAACCTTGATATAGTCAACATCATCCCAATGTAGCCATATACTGGTCTGGATTAATGATTTGAAGACGATTGAGAATTGTTACTGTTGTCATTTAACATTAAGTCGTCAATTCCGATGTCTGGATCCGACCCAAAAGGCGTGGGTAAGGGTCTAGGTCCAAATAAACTATTTTGAATCAGCGAGTAGTATTCCTCAGGATAACAGGTATGTACATTTTTATGAGGATTAATAGTATTTACTTTCAGAAAATAAGCCGCCAGTCATCACCTGTCCATCCGATCAAACCACCGAGACGGATACAAACCAGAACTTTGCTACGGTCATCCTTCCTCATCCTGTCTCTGCATACGACAACAGCGGATGGTTCGAAGTAACCATTGACGTAGATGGTTCCATGCATCTTGTAAATGACAGCATTAGATTGAGTCTTGCGCAGTCTGTGCACACATTGCAGTACACTGCCAAAGATGCCATCAACAACTTTGCAAACTGCAACATGCAAATCACAGTCATAGGTAGGCAGTCATTTCAAATGTTTACACCCGAACACTTTTATGCGAAACCATATACCTCCAAAATGTTGCATTTCTTTATAAGTGATGTTCAAAACATCGATTTTTTCAGGACATCGATTAATCCAGCTGTTTTTTAACGTTTATAAGCCTAAACTCCTTTTCGTATCGTCTGCATTTTATGCGCACGTGTACTAAACTTAATCGTGCTTGATAAATCTTGCTAGAAACCCCGTCACTTTTACGTCGACGATCAATTAACACAGTTGTCATGTGACCCGGTTACATGTCACTTTTATTCTCTCTTAACTAATCTTTTTGCGTCACAGATCTGACCCCACCTACTTTCACCACCGGTTGCCCGGGCGACATTTATCGTCTAGTGGACCTCAACTTAGAATCGGTCCCCGTGGCGTGGCCTAACGTGACAGCATCAGATCCAAACTCGCCGTTGCTATGGAACCCTAGCCATCACCCTGGTGACATGTTTCCCGTTGGTAATGTTACCATGGTGACCTACACAGTCGCAGACCAAGACGGGAACGTTGCGTCTTGTAACTTCACGGTGACAGTGACAGGTGTGTACCTTTCTGTAACTATCTCATTTTAAACTTCATCAACTTGACTTTGAAAAACATCGAGCAATGGGATCATAACATTTTCATTATAGCTTATGCGGTGCTTAGGCCTGTTGAGATAGTGGAAATGCCATCCCGTTTCGTTATATATATCACTTAATGAGTAGCCGTATTTGATTTTATTTCGCTTTATTTGATTCCATTTATTTGATTGCATCAACAGTTAACGTGTCTAACGACAATGAATTAATCATTCAATCAACTTATGTTCAATTGCTCAACTGAAACCTGCCTGCCGACCAGTGGCGTAGCCAGGAATTTTTCGGGGGGGGGGGGGCGCTGGGGGGGCTGGAACATTTCATGGGGGGGGGGGGCGTCATGTAGATCAATGATAATTTTTTTAGAAACTCAAAATCTCAGTAGGGGGCGACTGGGGGGGGGCGACAAGGTTTCATGGGGGGGGGCTCCCCACGCCCCCCGTGGCTATGCCACTGCTGCCGACGTATTTGACGGTTCCATTGATTTTGTGTTTGGTGAACACACAAGTCAGTTTGTCATCAGTTGTTGCGCCTCTCTTCTATGCAAGGATGGATCCAAGGGGTGGTTAACCACCCCCGACTGACCAATGTTAATTACATTCGTATTTACATACTGGAAAAAAGACCAACATTTCCTGAACTTCCTTGCATAGCAAAATCCCTCCATATTGCAAATCTTGATCTATTGCTGCCAGGTGTTTCGCATGTTTATGCGTTGACTGCAACTCCTCATTTCAGAATTCAGAATTCGCCACTGATATATCCTGGATGGATTAATGATGTCTTAAAGAGGTTGTGGAATGCTCGAAGACATTTCTGTCATTTTTCGGGTATATGTAGCCTAAGGTGTGATGAAATAAAAACGACTATTGTGTCTGTCATGAAATGAGTACTAAAGGTACATTTGATAGCTTTTTTCAGGTCATGTTTCGACCCGAACTTGCAATTTGTGTAAAAGTCGTCGTTGGGGGCAGCAAACAAAACATAGTAAATCGTGACGTAATAAAGAGGACTTGTTCATACTACGCTGCATCGGGAGTACCTTTTGTACTCATTTCATGACAGGCACAATAGTCGTTTTTATTTCATCACACGTGTGAACACCTAAGGCTACATATACCCGAAAAATGACGGAAATGTCTTCGAGCATTCCACAACCTCTTTACTACTGCCTGCTTTTGTTGATATCACCCAGAGTTGTAATGACTCGAGTCAATGATTCGACTCGAGTCCGACTCCAGTCACAATTTTTGATGAGTCGACTCTACTCGCGTCCCTAAGGGCAAATGACTCGACTCGATTCGAGTCACTGCGAGCAAATGACTCGACTCGACTCGAGTCCCTCATCAGAATGACTCCTGAGGAAGGCTAATAAGACTCGAGTCCCCAAAATAGAAGCAAACTTTGCGAAAAATATTTGCAATGGTTTACGCCGGTGCTGGTTTTTGTTCACGTCACGTTAGAATGGTCGCGAATAATATGTTCCCATTAGTTGAATGGGCCTTATTCACGAATCGGCCATATTGAATTGAAAGTTAGGTAAAATCTTAATTTTTGGAACTTGCGAAGAGGAATGAAAGCAAGTTAATGTATAATAAATTTCAGTCTGCTTCAATGAAGAATTTAACATGTGTAATTAAACATTCCCTAATGTTTAAAGCCATATTTAAAAACAAATGACAGTAAAATAAGGCTGCATTGTGCCCGCATAAAAAGTCTGGCGCCATCCCAGTCAACAGTTAACAATTAATGAAATACATTCAGGGAACTCGACAAAAAATGGCCAACTCGTGAATAAGGCCCATGGCGATCAGCTGGCACCCCTTTTTTATTTTCAATAAGAGTCAAATGTGGTGTCACCACATGTAGTAGCCCGAACGAAAACAAAAAACCATAAAAATGACTTTCTCTTCGAACATTTGTGACTCGAATTAACTCGAGCTACATACTTGACTCGACTCGACCACACACTGTGACTTGACTCGACTCGACTCGACCTTCTTGACCTAATGACTCGACTCAACTCGAGTCACTTCTCTCGGATTCCAGCCGTCTATCCACGTGCTTTCCTAAATAAGAATGAAGGTTTCTTCCTCAATTTCACAAACAGAATAGCTCTGCAGGTACTTAGTCATAACTTTTTGGTCTTCTTTCTCAGTTGTGAAACTCGTCTGCCCAGCCAATTTCTCGGCATTAGCAAGTCCTGGCTCGACCAGTACCAGTGTGAGCTGGTTGGAACCGGATCTAACTGGATGGGACGGACCTACAAACTTCACCTCAAGTTGCAATCCTGGTGTTGAATTGTTGATAGGAACTCACCGAGTAGACTATCAGCAATCGTTTGCAGCATACAATATGCACTTCGAATGTTCACTCTTTGTTGTGGTACAAGGTGAGAAATGAGTATTTGAAAACTTGGCAAAGATAGTTCAAAGAGTTTGTTTGGACCCCTATCAAAAGAATTTTAAAAATAACTGAGTGAGAGATTAGTAAAACGCTTTGTCGTGCTTTCACAACAGGTCAGTGCCCAACCAACACAACCAATGACGGTCTGAGATGGCCTGTAGCAGTAGCTGGATCCACTGCCAAGTCTGTCCAACGATGTCCACTGGCAACTGAAAATGGTTTGACTTTAGAATCTGTCACAGTCTTTGAAACCTTCACCATAGTCCAAAATGTTCCTTGCTCTGCCTGATGTATCCATTCTTTCTCTTAATCGTCTCTCCACCTCTTCTTTGTTCTTCCTCTTTTTCGTTCGCTGTTTCTTGGCCGCAAGACTCACTTATATCGCATTTATTAGAACGATTCAATTTCTTCTGATAAAATGGTTTTGTTCATCTGCATTACTACGTTTTAATGACCCTAAATGAAGCCGGTGAACCCGTAGCCGTCCGAAACTGCTCAAAGTTGGAGGCTCCTCTCTACTTCCGATGGGAGGAGCAGGAGACTCGTGGCTGCGGGGACAAGAAGGAAGTGTCTCTCGAAAACGTCGTCAAGGTAATTTGTTTTATCTTAGGACGTTAGTTGATCCAAATTAGATGATGGCTCAATTTTCAGAAAAGCATTCTACAATGGTGGCTCTTGCAGAGAGGTCCTAGTTTTTGAATCACACTGTGTTTACTTGAGCAAATTGTGAAAAACTGCTGGCAGATGCGGTGTTTTAAGAAGCTTAGATATGAAGATGTGACCATGAACCCTATTCGTTGACAGGTTGAGGTTAGCAAAGGCAATGCAGTCGAAGTAGCCGAGTTTCTAGCCAATCGGACGTCAGATTCATCTAAGGAGACAGCAGATGTTGCGATTGTTGCCAGCATTTTGGAGAACATCGTTAAAGCAGGATCGGGGGACAAAGAGGTATGGTGAATTACCATTCCGGAGAGGGGACTTTATACATGGTTCAAAGAAAAAAGGGCTGTGGAACATATGGTAGAAATATATGTAACTGAAGTTAATTTTAATCATGATTTCTTGAAGGTGACAGAACTAGTGCTGGAGACTGTCAGCAATGTCATCATGAGTGTTGGGCCTGAAACTCCTGACTCCGAACCCACTCAGATCGAGGCTGGTACCTCCTCAGCCATCGTTAAATCCGTGGAGACTCAAATCTCCCTGACACTTCAGCAAGAGGGTAAAGTCAGTATACGTCAGGACTCAATCCACGTGGAGGCGGTCAGTCTTGAACCAAACCTGACCGGGAACGGACTCAGCTTCGTGTCCGTGAAACAGTCAAATGTGACGTATCCTGGACAAGGGTCACCGCAAGAGGGCACCCTTGCCGGTACAGAGGTCGAGACTTTGAACTCTAGTGTGATACCGAGGGATCTCGATGTCTTGGCATCGGCTCGGTTGCCTGGCAACATCATCAATTTGTTACCGTCCCCTAATGGTAAGTTCATCATGTGTGATCAAAGATTATGTGAATAATCGATATTTGATAAGATAAAAAAGAGGGTGGGCCTATGCAGTGCTTGCTGAAGTCTACTATGAAAGCAATGGTTCAAATTGTGCGTACGTGTGTCCTCAAGCAAGAGACACACTGCTGTTCCTTATTGGAAGTGGAGTTATGAAAATATTGGCATAACCTAAGCCTCCGGAATTAGATTTTCATAGAATCTTAAAACATATTTCAAGGGATGACACTATGAAACGTTGTTTGTTGATAAGATTTTCGGGGGTAGTGCAAACAAATATGAGAAACGTACCTCTTTAAACTATTTCTTCAAAATGTAGCTCAGCTGAAAGCCAGTTTCCTGATCTACGCTGGTGACACGTTGTTCCAGTCTGCTTCGATCAGAGAGCATCGAGGGGAGGGTAACTCGACTCGTAAGGTTGCTGGATCTGTCGTCTCACTGACTGTGGAGAATGTTGAACTTGTCAACCTCACAGAACCAGTCGTGATTGAATTCAAGGTGATCATGAGAATATACCGGTTTATCCAGAGTAGAATACTTCAGTATTAATTAGGGCATATTTTTGCCAAATAACGTTAATGTCCATTAAGCTAATCATTTCAGATTTTGCCTTCATTCAATTTTGTGTACCTTTTATCAATCTTCCGATTTCGAAACTTAGGAGGAATCAAGCGAAGGCCAATGCGTGTCCTGGGACTTTGAGCTGGAAGATGGAGTCGGCGATTGGACAACAGATGGATGCGCGCTTGCTGAAGTGACCAATAAGACAATCGTGTGTAATTGTTTTCATGCCACCAACTTCGCAATCCTAGTGGTATGTATAGTTCAATCTTATTATGACTCCAAACTACTTACATAAAGCTTTTTCCATTTAAGAATGCGACAAGGTGATAGACTCCCGCAGGTTGTACCAAGCTTAGATTATGGAGCACATCACAAATCAATGAAAAGAGTACCTCTTTCAGTTCGAAGGAAGAGTTACACTACTTTAAGCCAAACGAAAAAGGAAGGTCCGTTAAGGCAGGAAAAGAAGGAATTTTATCAGAAAACAATACAATACATTGTTCTATAAAATCTACATGATTTCCCTGTTTGTACCTTTTTGAAATGCCTACGTTCAATGCCAACAAAAACACTTCATCTTCACTCACTGAATGTTTCTCCACGTTTGCAATTAGGAGATCATTTAACTTTTTAGATACATAGATGCTACTATGAATATTTTCTGGATTCGTAACTGGTTTGACTTTTCTCACAGGATGTAAAGGGCCAAGCACCTGACGATAAAGATGACACTCCTGCTAAGCGAGCGCTTGATGTTATCAGCCAGGTTGGCGCTGCACTGTCAATCATAGCTCTGGCTATCACGCTGATCATATACTTAGCTATCAGGTAAGATCATTGTAATGAAACGATCAGCAAAATTAAACCCAACCATGTTTCTCTGTGTGCTTATACGTTCCATGTGTTGTCTTGTCGCTGTAAGGCAGTGCTAAAAAAGTATATATATAAACATTTTAACGTTTTTTGTAGGAAACTGCGAAGAGGCAAATCTCGTCAGATCTTCATCAATTTCTGCTTCTCGTTGATCATGTTGTACATCGTGTTCGTTGCCGGCGTCGACAATGCTAAGGTGACCAATGTTACATAACGCAGGAAACTTTTCAGTTTAATCTAGGGGGCGATAGATATCTAGAGCCACGAAGAGGTCAAAAGTGGCCAGGACCGGTATAAAGTCAGTTTCCATATCATCATGAAAAGCACGGATTGTAACGTCCTTTGTAAATTGTATCTGATTTTAAATTATAACGGTTATATCTACTTTAATTTAAAAGGGCTCCGGAGGTGGTTGTGTGTTCGTGGCTGCTTTGCTGCACTACTTGACTCTGTCCACTATGATGTGGATGGCTGTTGAAGCCAGGAACATGTACGTCAGTACGGTGAAGGTGTTCCCAGAAGACGCGCCACGATACATGCTCAAGGCTTGCCTCATCGCTTGGGGTGAGTTTTTGTCTAAACTCAAACATTATTTTTAAATAGATACCAAGCAAAATCATTGCTATCATCAGTTAAATAAATATTTGAATCAAGTTGAATCAAGAATAAGATTTGTATCTCCCTTTTTAGGTTCACCATTGATTGTGTTGATAATCACATTGGCTGCAGCATCACATCACTTTGCCAACGAACATTAGTAAGTGAATGATCATGCTAGCTTATCTGAGGGCGCTGTTTAGATTCATCCAATTACTCAAAACCTATCTTTACCTAATTATTATCATATAGAGAAGTTTTCGAAACGTCTGCTTTGTCCCAAAATTCTGCTTACTTCACTGTATGCAGGGAATTTAAGAATCTTCTACAATCTAAACTACTCTAAATTTTATTCTCTTACAAATATGATTTTTTCTCCTCAAGCAGACCTTGGACCCATAATGAGCCGAATTCTCCAGAGTCAGTGCCTCTACAATCTTTTAACACATGCCGAATCTGGAAACAAAGACAAAGTTTCGAAAATGTCCAAAGACTTATACAGATGCGACTGTGATACATATGCAGGTTATTAAGTATTGTATTAAAGCTGGTGTTACCTACCTAAAATTCAAAAAAATGATGATCAATATATCTTCGTTTGCAGCTGCTTCCTTGAGCCCGGTCTTGTGCTGTACCTCGGCCTCCTTGCTCCCATTGGTCTCATCCTCCTCCACAACATCATCACCTTCATCTTGGTCATGCGCAGTCTCCTGAAGGTCAAAGAGGCATCTCGCTCCCAGCAGATCTCCAAACGTCTTCAGAATGCCGTGGCAATCTCCACCCTCATGGGCTTGACCTGGTGTTTTGGGTTCCTGGCCATCGAAGAAGCGACTTTTACCTTTCAACTCATCTTTTGTCTGGCTAACTCCTTGCAGGTAAATGGAGGGGGAGGCATTTTAACTGATTCAGGATGGCTATTACTACAATACCCAATGGGTCGGATATGGCCCATTTATTGGCCTAAAGGGATAGTCCTATACGACAGCACTGCCCAGTACACAAGGTACAGTCAGTCAATGAGTTAGTCAGTGAAACAGTTAGCTTGTAGTACAAAATGACACTATTGTAGTCTAGTCATCTCGATCTTGCAAAAACTGCCTGATTGTGAAGTCTACGGTTTTATAAAAGCTCGTTGAAGTTTACAGAGCACGATCTGGAGAGTCTTATCTCAGGCATTGTTTAATGTTCACCTTCTCCGCTTGTTTTCTTTTCAGGGCGTGGTTGTGTTCATCATGTTCTGCGCTCGACGCGAGGAGGTCCGCGACGCCTTTGCACCCTACATGAAGCGCATCTGCTGCGGTCGGGAATTGCACTTGCCAAAGCGATCATATGACGTGGCCTTGGTTTCAAGCACTGCTTCTCAATCCATCAGTTCCCCTTCTAGCAGTGTCGTCACCAAATTTGACGTGTCCGCTTCTGACTTCCAGGAGAGCGTGGTGGTCCTCAAGTATAAGACATATGACCAAGACATCTGAATGTTTTCCTTGGAAAATTGAGGGGACTGAAACACTTAAATTGAATTTCATTGTTGACAAAATGCAGGATTGAAGAACGCCATATCAACTATCCGGTTCGTTAGTAAAAACGTCACGCACGCGCGTGCACCACTGATTGCTAGCGCCCATTGGATAACCACTCCTAAAGTTGTACGGCGTTATCTCCCGGTTCCAATGGTTCCAATGCTACTTAATGGCAAGTGGGCGTGGTTTAAACTGAACTGACGAACGAACCGGATACATTTGACAATGGCATACAGCTGGTAAAGAATGACAAAACCTCCAAGTAGAAATTCAAATTGAGTTGTAACTTCGAGTCTCGACTGGCCGATTACCACGGCATTTTTCAGAGATATGAATGCGGCACACAATCATAACTTTTTCGCTCTATGAAATTTAATCAAGATCAGAAATGAAGGAAGTTTGTCCTCTATACAAGAATTTCTTTGATTGAAAAGGAAAAAGCTTACAAAATGCACCAGGTCTTGGAAAGGGATGGCAGGGAAAATTACAACAGATTATGGTATAATATTGTGTATGCTTCGATACAGTTAAACAAAAACACATATCTTATTCGATTATATATATCTATACTTTAAACGTTGCTGAGTGTACCTATTAAAGACAACCTCCTAGCATAAAATGCTAACATGAAATGTTTGTACATAAACTGTGAAAAGTTGGGCACGCTAATTGCTCTGTCAGGAATTTTGTCACCACTAGGCCTCCTTGCAAATTCGCAACAACCGCAATCAAATACCACGTATAAGTTAAAAAGCATGTACAAAATTCGCTGAATGTTTCATTATCATGTGATTACGAATTCTCTTGGGAACCGGGGATGCATGATCAAAACTCCTCCGACGAATTTTTTTTCTGCGGTACAATTGGGGAACCATATGCTTTTGTGTGGGTTGCCAGTTATATTACTGACTTAAATAAGGATACATGTATGTATAGGGCTAATTGCTATGTACACGCAGATTATTGTTGATGTTAGCATATACATGTATATATTATATATAGATTAGGCATACCCAAACTTCTTGTTTAACCATGCGAACAAAATGAAGATTAAATAGAATGAAATACATAGTAAAAAAGTAAAACCTATGTTTCCGTAAATGTACATGTACTATTAATGGTTATGCAGATAATACTTAACTGTAAAAAAAGATTTGATGTACGAAGCCTCCTTTTATTGAAATTTTAAGTAGTACCCAGAATGATTGAATAACGTTCTTATGTAGCCTTATTACTTAAGGTTTCAATGCACTGTACGCAGATGATTCGTCAATTTCATTGTTCATTTAATGATTATACAGATAATTATTAATTGTAAAGATTTGTTATACGAAGCCTGTTTTTATTGAAATTTTTAAAGGACCAATGTAATGTGATTTGTTAATGCAGTCCTTGTAAATTCAACTTCGTGTCCCATTTAACCTTATTTTCAATTTTCATTTTGCCATGTATAAGTGCATTTTGGTGTCTTTTTGGTGTTTATGCTAATTCGAATTTGCAGATTTATGAGCAAAAACAGTGATGTAATTTTGGGCAGAAAAATTGCCATAATTTTGGATGTTTTGCTGTGTGTGGTAAATTTCTTTTCGTTGGTGATTAGTTGTTGTTTCAGTACATGGCAGTGGGCTAATGAGCAAAGTTTTCTCAAAAAAAAAGTTTTTAATGAGCACATTTTGGGTTCACCGTTTAAACAGAAGCCCCCTAAACCGAACAGTGTCTTCCTGAAACGACATCACAGAAACAGCGCCCTCACTTGTCTGCGAAAGCATGGACATTCTTTTTTTAAATGTTTAAACGCAAAATGTTTACTTGCTACTCGAAATAAAATGACGTGTGGGAGTACCATTGTGCTGTCGTGTCCAAATATGCTATGTGTAGCATAGTGTGACTGGTGTGCGTGCAGTTCCTTGTCTCCGTGCGCCAACAAACGAGGGCGCCCTTTTTACCTAGTATGGGGAGGTCGGTGGCCGTCGGGGTCCCGGAAGTGGTGGGTTGGATACACGGTGGGCGATGTGTACTCCAGGGGGTTGATGAGAAGAGGGCACGCAGGTTCGGGGGGTCGGAGAGTAGGTGTAATGAGTCAATGGCCACACCATGCTGTGTTTCTGATGGTTTATTTGTCTGGGTCCAAGACCCGGCCTGTGAAAAGTGGGCAGGCACTCATTAGTTCCATAATACATGTACATGTAATTTAGAAGGAGACATAATGCTGACAAGATTTCCGAAGATAAACTAAATAAACATGATCCAGTACAAACTAAAGTTCAACCTACTAATGTATTGCCGTAGGCACAGTGTCTATATTGGGCATCAAGGAAGAAATACACATATCCAGGCCAACCCCGGCCGCTGGCTGACCAAAATTTACACACACACACACACTAACATACATCACATGCACTCAAATATGTCCCTAAATGCACAATACAACCCATGACCTACAGAGACATCCTAGTTTGACAAAAAGAAAACTAAGTTGACAACCCTCATTAACAATAATCCATTTCCATTTGAACTTGCAACTGTCATTAAGATATTAGGCAAAATAAAAAAACAAACATGTTTAGCGTCCTGCCTCTTTGACAAAAAGGAAGGAGGAGGCCCTTTTTTTTTTCTTCTTTTCAAAATGGCCGCCAGACACATTTTTCAAGACAACGCGGCCGGGCTATTTTTCAAGATGGTTACCAGCTTTTTTCAAAATGGCCGCCACTTGGACTCATTGACTATTTCCACAGCTTTATACACGGTATAAAAGTCTAAAAATATGATTTCTTTCGTCAGAGGTCGTTAAAATTTATCAATTTTTGTCTTTAAAAAAAAGAAAAAAAAGAAAAAAAAGGAGGCGGCCTCTAAAAAGGAAGCGGGCGGGGACGCTAAACATGTTTGTTTTTTTACTTCGCCCCTATAGAACTGTCTTCACTCCGCAATGTATCCTTCACTCGTGCACGCTAACTGCACGTGATCATGCTACACGTATGGATGTTATCGAAACAAAACGTGGGCCATACTAATCAGTGCGTACTTCGCCATAGTACCGTCTAAATCAGCCCACAAATATCACTTTTGAAAACTCTTGATCTGTTCCTTTCTACCATTAAACTAGTCTATAATCATAAGCGAATAAAATAAGGGAAGTAAGCATTTACAACTATTTCATTAAGTGGTGAAATAAAGCAATGTAAATCACAACAACAATTTGGAAGCCGTTACCTGTGAAAATTGGGCAGGCACTGCCGTGCAGCCCGCGTGGTCCAGAGGGGTATAACATAGAACATACAGTACATGTCTATCAAACAGTTCAAGCAAGTAAGCTAGGCTTGGGTCTACGACAATCGGAATGTAGCACAGCAAAATTAGAAAAACAATGAGTAATTTCAATAATAGAAAACCTTACTTGACATGTCCTACTTGAAATTTAATACCAACACAAACTACATGTACAAATTTGAGACCATCTTAAGTTCGTTTGTTGTGCATGGCCGCATGACCTCCACTAATTGGTTTGATTAACTCCAGCAGAGACGGCAGTACAGTAATAGGAGAGTACAATGTGTACATTTTGTAAACAGGAATAACGGGCAAGGATCAAAAAGGTTACAATACATGGAAAATCATGAAATTGACAATACCCATCGGTCTTTCAAAAGAGTGGCGGGCACGTAGAGCTTGCCGAGCCGCAGCAGCACGCTTAGTGTTTTCCATCGCCACTCCGCGGGCAACCCGCAAGGCCTTCTGATGTCTCCGCATGTACGCTGGGAGATCGTGCGACTTCCTCTGAGGGGCTTCCCCGCCTAAGTGTATACTTTGGGGAAAACGGCCGTTCCGACCAAACATCAGAAAGAAAGGGTCTACCCCAGTCGTAGAATGTTCGGTGTTGTTGTAGGTATACACAAGGGCCGGTAGGTACTCTGACCACCGCTGCCTCTTATACTCTGGGAGGGATGCCAGCATTCCATGGAGGGTGCGATTAAATCTTTCGCATTGGCCGTCTCCGGCTGGGTGGTACGGTGTGGTTCTGCTTTTCTGGATGCCGTACATCGTACACAGTTCCCTGATGACTTCAGATTCAAAATTTCTCCCACAATCAGAATGAAGACGGAGAGGACATCCATAGGGCAGGAAAACATGCTTAACCAATGCTTTGGCCACTGTGATAGCTCGTTGGTTCTTGGTGGGGACCGCCCAGGCATACTTCGTGAAGATATCAGTTACAATCAGGAGGTTCTCATATCCATCATGAGATGGCTCTAGCATTGTAAAGTCCATCGCCAAAGTCTCCTTAGGTGCAGTAGTACTCAGTTGAGAGAACTGGGGTTTTGTCTGACGGACCGGTGGTTTGCTTATACTGCAGCGCTTACATTTTGCACACCATTCCTTTATGTAGGCCTCCATGTTGTGCCAGTAGTACCGGTTCCACACCAAACGGAACGTACGCTTGGGACCAAAATGTCCTCCGTCATCATGGAACATGCGAAGAACTTGGTCCCACAGCTTCTCTGGTACCATAAGCTGTTGATGGATCTGATGGTCACCAGGGGAGACGACTTGGCGGTAGAGGAGACCATCAAGGATGGAGTACCTCTTCCAGTCACGAAGATGTGCAGTAACTTTACGTTCGAGTACTTCCCGCTCGGACCGATCGGGCTTCATCCCCTTCTTCACAAAGTCAACAACCTTTCCAAGCACTGGATCCTCAGTTTGGAGTGTTGCCAGTTCTTTCTCTGAAAAACCAGGGAAACACCGGGTCCCTCCCTCCTGGAATGCTCTGATACAGTGAGACACAACCAATGGAAACTCAGTGCCTGGAGAGTGGACATCGATACTCACTGCAATGGTTGATGAGCTTACAGTACACGGAGCAAGCAGCACATCAATGCTCTCACCATCTTGGTCTTTGGTGGTCGCCCGACGGGACAAGGCATCTGGGGCTTGGTTGTTACGGCCCGGCCTGTATT